CAATTGAAAATTGTGATTTCTAACTCATGTGTCCTTTATTACACTGAAAACAACACAGCAGCACATTATTTCATGTGATACCTCATCAATTTCATTCTTAGTTCAAAATAAACACTTCAATCCTGATGCCTGAAACACTTTCCAAAAGAAATCAGTAAAGCGGACAATAAAACGTTTACCACGGTGTGATGCTGCCGTTCCTTTTCACAACACTTAAAAGACGTTTAGAGACTGATTAAGTGTGTCAGGTGTAATTTCATCCCATTCTTCCTGCAAACAAGTCTTAAGGTGCACGACAGTCCTGGGTCTTCACTGGTGCAATTTGCGTTTCAAAGTGAGGAGTGTAAAACAGGACTGTCTCAAGACATATAGGCTAAACGGAATGGGCAGTATATTATAAATAACTCACATTATGATGCAATACAATTCAACAGCACCACACCACCACCATGAAGTTGAAATCTGAACCTCACTGGCACACTTTCAGCAAAACAAAACTGTAAGGTGTCGTATTAGTTTGTTGTATAAAACTTTACATTGGCTTTATTTTATCATTGTGTTTGAAGGACTTGTTGGATTTGGAAGTGACCAACAAAAGAAATACTAGACACATCATTTAGGTAGGAGCCATAAAAAACTGACTGGTCTGGGAATAAATGTGTAACAAATATGGAGGAAATGAACTGAATAAAATGATACAGAGAAGTAATAGATGTGAGCGAAGAGTGTCAGGGCAATGTGACCTTTTGGTGTTGAATTTCCACCATTCATTAAAATATCAGGTATCCAAAGTAAATAATGTGAAGACAGTAGTGTATCAAAAGGAATAATAATGCTCCTCATGCTCCAATGATGCACTAATGGTAATCAGAGAAAATAGTCATCTAAAAAAAGCACAAATTAACAGCACAGTGTATGAGTTGTATATTACATATATTACATAACTAGACCAGTGGATAGCTTCCAGACAAGCCCACCTGAAGAAGCCTTTCACTACACTCAAGTGGAGAGGTCAGATTCAGGTGGAGAAAAAACAAAAACAACCCAAACTCCACCATTATGCAAGTTTAATATCTGATCACTGAGGATGGCAGCAAACTCTGTATTTGTTTTCCTCCTACAATTTGCACCTTAACCATGACAAAACAATGCCTCCCACTCATAGCAGAATAACAGACCCACTAGGACCCTTAGCTGTGGCCTATGGGCTTTTTTTGTGTGTGTATGTGTCAAACATGTACGCATCAAGTGAAGAGTGACTCATTTGCCCGACCGTTGTCTTTCTTTTTCCCTTCATTTATTAGTTAACCAATGTCTTTGTTCCTTGTGCTGCTATAATCACAAACATGTCATAATGGGATTATTCATTGCAAACTGACCACAGTATCTCTCACTTCAAATGTCCTGACTGACTGTTTTTGATGAATAGCCGCTTGCACCCTTGATTGATATTTGCAATCACACTCAGAGTAACACCTCATTACAATTACCATTCATTTTACTTTCTATTGTTTGCCTGTGCTCAGAGTTACAGCTCTGGCTTACTGAGAAAATGCAATCATGTTACTTTAAATTTCGTGTTCACGCAGCCTTTTTTAAAATTAGTTTTGTTAAATGATGTGTTCATTCTAAGGGCAGAGATTCCTGCACCTCTATGACAGAATTGTTACTCGGTAACTGAGTCAAAACTGACAGCAAGAAAAAAGAAGAAGAAGAAGAAAGCATTCATTCACACCTCTTTATCATCATGTTATTTTATTATTATTAGGAAGCAGTTAGAGGATCACAAAAGTCTGCCCACATCACTGGCACCATCTCCAAAATGTACTCTCCAAAGACTGGAGCTTATTATGAGTGGACTCCTTTAGAATAATTGATTGTATTTGACATGACATGGAGGAAGCTCGGCAGATTGATACTCTGCAGTCGAGTCGTGATCAATCCAAATGAGAGACTGGGGGAGGTTTTATATCACTGCCAGAGTTTATTAAAAACAACTAAGCTTCTCTGGAGAAACTCTATTCCTGCAGAAACAGCTTGGGCCTATTAGTATCTGGGAATGTAAATTAGCTCGATCCCTCACCCCGTCAGGCCCCAAAATATTCCCTGTGCACTAGTTTGACAGACCATAATGAAACTTATGTGAGCCAAATACCTGGGTATGTTCCCAAGCACTTTTGTGGTGAGTGTTAAGGCATGAAGAATTGTGATTATCGGTGAACATTAGCTTCTGTCTTCACAAGCACAAAAATTTGCTGTGATTTGGTTTACTGCACATTCTGAAAGATGATTCAACCTTTAGAGATAAATTGGCATGCTGCAGATCTGAATTTCATGTGGTGTGGGTGTGAAATAGATAGTACACCATCGCAATACAACTGGAAACATGTAGTTTTGAAGGTTGATTTGTATTTAATTTTCTAGCTTGAATAATGTTTAAGCAACATTTTATGAATCAGATTGGAAGGGATTTGTCTGGATTTTTACAAACTGGAGAACAGTATGTGTATGTGACTGCATACAGATCTTTTCCATAGATATTTTAACTATTTTCCCAGCAGTGAAGCATCTGCATTCATTAATACTTCTCTGTTATTGACTATCAATCAATGCAACAAAGATAGTTCTATTGCATACTGTAGCATGCCTCTCAAGGTAGAGATCATTAAAAGTTACTCCAAGTACAAAGCACCTTTATCTTCACACTTCTGTTTGCTATGTATGTAAATAAAATTTTGGTCACGTGTCAAAATGTAATGAAGTAAATATTATGCTCTAAGTCTGTGGCAGTAAACAGCAGATGGTTTGCAGGGCCTCTTTAGCACTATGGATATATTTACCTACCCACCTGAATGACCTGTGTTGAGCTGAGCAGCTGATGCTGAGAAAAAAAAAGGCAAGAGTTAACGGTTTGCTCTTGTTTACCCCGGTTCCACTAGACTGCAAGGCCGGAGGAGTCATTTGCCGTGCATGGAGAAATTAGCTTGTTTATCAGCATTTTGATTTCTATCCCGCCCTGCCATCCCACTGACATTTTAAACGTACATGATCCATGACTGATTCCCAATCAAAATGAAACCACATAGTACCAGGCTTGTGCACTTTCCATTGTTTTATAATTGATGTATGATGATTAGTGTTGAGCCTGATGAGGCCAATAGCTTGTTATGACCATACCTTCAAAAAGGTAACCTTGAACACTGTAAATCTGTCCTGTCAATTGGCCATGCTCCGAAGGCAAAGATCATATGACCAGTGAGGCGCTGCGTTTCATGTCCATCTATTAGATATCAGTTGCTTCACAGTTGTTTCATTTGAGCATTGTTTTAAATTACCATTCATGGGGATCTTGCACCTTCAGACCACCTACTGTACTTTGGGGTTAAATGGCAGACAGATCTGAAGTCCTTGAAAGGTTACAAAAATCTTTAGCTATTCATTACTGTAAGAGAGGAAGTGTGAGAAGTAATGGAATATAAAGGCAACTAATACTCTTTGAGGTCACCATCTATAGATATGTTTATCCCATTACAGGCCGAGAAGTAACCACAGTTGTATACTGTCAGGAGGCAAAGATAATCCGGAGGGAAATTACCGATCAGGAAGACAATACTGTTTCTGAGATGCAATTACCAGGCCACTTGTAAGACTTTCAGCCCAGTATCCATGGGTGCATGCATGTGTGTGCATGTGTGTGTAAGAGAGAGAGAAAGAGAGAGAGAGGGGATGGTCGATATGTGCATAACAGCTCTTATATTTTGCAGAGTAAATTGGATTCTTTGCCTGAGAACAGTTAATTTAGAATATGTCCAAGATGCAAATGATTGATGTGACTATATCGTTACAACTGTAGGTTCGCGATGCAGTGCAGCTTAATGGAAGAAAAATGTTGGAGGGAGAAGGAGATAGCTTTTATTCCAGAATTATGGAGAATGTTCTGCAACAAACTGTGACTCTCTGGGTGGAATAATTTGGATTTTGGTTGGTTGTTTTATACATTAATTTCCAAACAAACATTACTTAATTTGGAAGGGGGAAAAATGGTGCATGCTTGGATTCTGTTTCTCCTTCTATTGTATTGTGGAGCTCCTGTGCTCGTATTTGTTAGTACTTAAATTAACGGTGTGTCTCACAGGGGATTTAATATACCAATTTAGCACTGAATCACATAGCCTACAAACAAAGAAAACAGCATGGATTGGAATTAACATCAGTGTAAACATTTGATAAGACTTCGCTTGAGGCGAATGCTATGCTTTATTATTGATGCAAAAATAAAAACTGTGGAAACAAGATTTGCTTTTTCACATATGACAGACCTGCCTCTGCACTCTTGTATTCTACAACCTATTCTGAGCATAATATATGTGTCTAAGGGCAGTGGCTTCCCATTGTCCCCAAGATACATTTCTCAAGTTGAGGACATTTCAATTGTTCTACAAATTATCACCTTGAATCTGATAATTAACAACTGCTGCCTTCAATGAACATCCCCTAACCTTAAATGTAGTACAGAGAAGATTAGATTAAAAGAGCTGCCTGCACCCATTGCATGGGGAGTACATGTGCATAAGAAATAAAACTGACTGCACAGAGTGTGAGCGTAGCATGCATAATAAATGTATGACAAAACAATACCCCAGGCACCCCGGTACTAATGATATGCAGCAAACTCATTATTAAAGTTCCAAAACAGCTCCTGGAGTAACACAGATGGAGTCAATTAAGCAATGAGCATACTTGCTTGCCTGCCGTTTCATCTTCTTTCTTTTATCTCTTGCATATTACTCCATGGATGTAATTAGCTGTGTGTTTCTCCTCACAACATAATGTCCAGTGATAATAACAGTTACTTTCACTTGTAATTTCAAATAATGTACTGCTTAATAAATGTACCAAATTTGCTTGCACTGTGTCCTTGGGTATTTCAATTGCACTGCAAAAGGTGTTCAAGACAAAACTGAGCTGAGCTGCTTTTTGTCTGCTGTTTGTGTTCTCAGAGACCTGATGCCTTCGACGCTGGAGGGACAGATCACCATGGAGAAGACACCTAGCTACTTTGTGACTAACCATGCCCCAAAGCGCATCCACTCCATGGCCAGGGACATCAAGCTTATTATTGTAGTGCGTAATCCTGTCACTAGAGCCATTTCAGACTACACACAGACTTTATCCAAGAAACCTGAGATCCCCACCTTTGAGGTTCTGGCTTTTAAGAACCGAACGCTGGGTCTTATAGATGCCTCATGGAGTGCGTTGCGTATAGGAATATATGCACTCCACTTGGAGACCTGGATGCAGTATTTCCCTCTCTCCCAAATGCACTTTGTCAGCGGGGAGAGGCTTATTGTGGATCCCGCAGGTGAGATGGCCAAAGTGCAGGACTTCCTGGGACTGAAGCGGATCGTCACAGACAAACACTTTTACTTCAATAAAACTAAAGGATTTCCATGTCTGAAGAAGCCAGAGGACAGCAGCACTCCCAGATGCCTTGGCAAGTCTAAAGGGAGAACTCACCCAAAAATTGACCCAGACGTGATTCGGCGTCTGCACAAGTTCTACAAACCCTTTAACATGATGTTTTACCAAATGACCGGCCAGAACTTTGAATGGGAGCTGGAGGAAGACAGTGAATCTCGTAGCTCTCAGGACTAGTGAACTGCCTCATGGCACGGCACAGCCACACCACCAGCCTTCTCAATAAAACTAATATTGTCTCGCTTCGTCTTCAGAGAGAGTGCTTGAGCCTGCCAATCAATCATGGCTGTCTTTGCGGTGTCTTTATCCATTAGTAAGAGTTTACTGACATGCTTCTTCTCTCTCTTCAGTACTAATGTTGTTGATGATGGCAAATCATTACTGTATATACTAAACATAAAATATATTTATATTTGTGAAAAGGAGATGATTTATTTGTTTTGTTTTAAAGCATAGCTCTGATATAGAAATCATTTTGACGATGGCAATGCATGTGAGGAGTTAAGTGTCCTTACTCCATTAACCCTAAGGGTAAACTCTGCCTGTTTCTTTTCCCTTTACTTTTCTGCAATTTGTTACCATCACACCCACTCACAAGCGTTCAGTGCAAAAAGATATTCTACTTCAGTGGCCAAGGCCAAGAAGTTCTCTGTATTATTTCTTTCAGCACTGTATTGCTGCTTCAGAGGAGACAGAAAAGAGAAAAAATTGGTAGATATATAAAACAAAAATCCTTTGACACATGCTCATCTTTTCAGTTGCTCATCTTGTGAGTGGAGACAATCCATTTCTTAATCAGTCTAAGTTTACCAAAGTGTTAATTTACTTAGTTTCAGTGTTGGAGTTGCTCTGCATTCATTAATTGCACCCATATTCAATAAGAGAACGGATATACAATGGCCATCATTCAATAATTGGATTGCTTTGCTGCATAGTTGAACATTAGCATACTGATGACCACGCGCTCAGATGTGGTGCGGTATCAGTGCTTTTGGCGTAATTTGACAAATGAGTCTACAGTATATCTTAGCCATACCAAGGGGAAGCTGTGCATTCGACAGTTCTGCACAATTGCACATTTCCTGTCAAAACACACCCAAAACATCAGTTAACATTGGTGAGGATGAAGAACAACAGTAAAGGACTGAGCCGAAGTTTGTTTAACAAACATCTGCTACGACGTGGTCTTCTGTCGTTAGAGATTAATGATGTGTTAAATAAACTGCTGCCACTGGAACACTGTCAATGTCAGAGCGAATTTGCTGTTAAGGAAAAGCTACACATGTGCCCAGGTAAAATACCAAACCATTACTGTATGTACTTAATTTGAACGAGATGACGTCTGCCAGGGAAATGTGCTGTAACCAGAGGTTTTACTATCAAACACTTGTTTTCAGCAGTGCTAACTGGAAGGATGCCTGTGTTGAAAATAACAGGGTTTTGGTGCGAAATGCTCCTTTACTCATGCAATGAAATAATAACATGATCTATAATCTTTACTATTTTTTAGCTTTGCATAACTCGCTGTGCATCTGTCTGTTGTCTCTGGGCGTTTAATCAATTGAGACAATCAATACAGTCAATGAGTCAATAAATACAGCCTGCTTCACATCACTGGTTGCTACACCTATGATGCATTGCTCTGTTAATCCTCCCTGTTCTCTGGCCATGGATGGCTAGATTGGTTCACTCTCTGCAGACCTCTCTGTCACCCTGGGGAGGCCAGCACCAGCAGCTACTTACACAGAGCAATTGATTCAATCAAAGTAAGCACTATACTGCCCTTTTGTAGCACCAAGCCTGAACACTTACCTCTGAGTCTCACTATCCAAGAGTCACAACTTCCACTTTGAGGCTTTTTCTGTGCAGCCATCCCTTGGTGTTTTCTTGACAAGCTCCCTGTCTCTCTGCACTTTTACCTCCTCTGTCCCTCCCTCTCTTTCTTTCTTTTTGCACACACATCATCCTCTGACAGTGGGAAGCTGTTTCACAAAGGTGCAGCTCTTTGTAGAAAGATAACTGAACTGCAAGCAAGACATGCTAATCAAACATTTAAGAAATGCCTTCATCATTATTTATTTATTCACATTTTTCCCCAAGCTTCAGAACATGTATAATCCACCTTCCAAACCTGGCAATCCCTCCTACTCAGTGTAGAGACACTGAAAGAAATCCACAGAAGGCACCCTTCAGTGTCATTAGGACAGATGAGGACTCAATTTCTCCTCTATGAATATGCACTTGTGCTGTCATTTGCATTTCCAGGATCACACACACGTGGGAATTCCTCTCCAAAGTTAAATATTAGATCCAACCTCTCATTAACAGAAACACTCAGACACCTTTTTCTTTTGTACTTCTTGTTGGTTTTAGGTACTGTGAAACATACTGCAAGTGCATGAACAATATGTTAAGCTGCCCTTCGTGTGTTCGTCCCAATGAGGATCATGTGTTATGTGGTTCATCAGGGCTCTCAGTATGTAGTGAAGAAGACTGCTATGATAAACCCACTCATCAGACTGTCAACGCTTAAGTGGTGTCATTTCGGACCAAAGTACAAATTCGTATTTGTCAGTCATTAATTTGGCAAAGCGCCGCGACAGCAATTCATGGTGTGAAAAGCTACCTGGATGTACCTGGAAATAATTTGCTGTTGTAGCTTGTGTGTTTAATTTTGGTTGAAGGGCTATAATCTGTGCATGAGAGGTGTTTTTACAGTGCTCTTTTCACCTTCCTGTTATATGATCTATAATAACATACTGCTGAAGAGCTTAATGAAAGGGTACAGCCTAAAAACAAGCTCAGTTTGAATGAAACAAAGGGGAATAGTTTGGCTCTGGAAACTTAAAAGCTTGGGAAAAAAATCTTTTAGACATAGTAAGGTCTCCATTACTACAAACTAACTGTCTTTTCGCTTCATTTGAGTCAATAATTACCAACTGCGTAAAAAGGCATGACAGTGTCAGCTTCCACAACTAACTTTGCACTAATCCACTCCAAATTAGTCTTTAATTTAGTTTCTAAATGCCCTTATTTTAATGCCCGCTGACATCCAAAGAAAAAAGAAAAAAGAAAAACCTGATGAATGTGCAGATTTAGCAAAGAATTTCAATCTGCAAAAGAACCTGTAACTGTTATCTGTTAACACAGAATAAAGGCTTTTCAGCAGCTGTGAAACATTGCAAAACAAATATCCACAAAATGA